TTCAGTGTATTGCCTTATAAATATATGTACAAAGGCCAATACCACTATTGTTATGGATTAGTGTATTTACATAAGTGGACACCTCGGTTAATATCCCTATCTATACCTTTGCTTCCTAGAGTTTACCTGTTTCCTTTTGCCTCCTCCTGCCCCACCATCACTTTCCCCTTTCTTCCACCTCTTAGTGCTTCCTCTCCACTAGCTTGGTGTTGCTCTAATACTCACAGGATCTCTATCCTCTCCTAGATGTTGATTTCGATTCCCTAGTTTTCCTATTTTATTGAAGCATTTGTCTAGCAGTTGTTTCAAAAATGTTTCCTTCTTACTACCGTCCTTCTTTCCCTTCTTTCCTTCCTATATTTTTCATCTTTTTCTTCCTAAGACCTCAGAGACATAAAATTATGCTTAATTTCTTGTCCATAATGTACTATCTTCATCATTGCATATGTATAAAAATTTTCTTGTAGTCTTTGGCTAGTTGTTGATATATTTTAAAGGTATTATAAACATAAATGACCCACAATCCAACCTAAGACCTATTAGTGGTCTTTATTTTGCTATTCTCTGGGAAGAGTTATTTAAATGTGAGAGATGCTCTGGTAAAGTTTGGTAGAACTCACCTACAAAAATATTTTAGGTGTAAGGTTTTCACAGTAGAAAACATTCAACTGTTGCAATAATTTCTTTAATAACTATAGTTCTGTCCAGTCTTTGTATTTCTTGAGGCACTTTAGCTGAATTATCTTTTCTAGGAATTTGTTCAATTCATCTATGTTTAGTTTTATTGACACCAAACCCTGATATTGCTCTTACTGATTTCTTAAATTCTTCCATAACTGTAGTTATAACTTTTACATGACTGATTCCTTAAAAATTGTGTTTTTGATACCTTTGTTTATGATCAACCTTTCAAGAATAGCAAATGAGCACGTTAAAAAAAAAAGCTAAATATCATTATCTATCTGTGAACTACATCAATACTAAGTAAATAATCAAATTGTTTTAAATCAGTGCCTCCACAAATTAGCCTAAATTCCTGGACTACTGGTGTGCTTTCTGCTGGCTGTGCAATCTTTACTCTAACGGAGGGTACTTGCTATGCCATAGATCTTAGTATCG